TGCCACCTCTTTCCTCAGTGTATGCTGGCTGTTATCCCCCTGAATAAGGGGTTTGACTGGTGTTTTCATGGCCAGAGCCTGCCCTGGATATGGAGTGCAGCCTCCCTTTTGCTCTGTGATGGTCACTGCCCTGTCAGGGGTGTGTTCTGCTCCCTACTTGTTGGAGTAGAGGACCCCAGATCTGTTTCTTAGCTGTGATTCTGATCTGTAGTGTGAGTTAGGTGGGATTGGAGCACTCCCACTGGGAGAGAATCCACTGAATATTCCTCCTCTGTAGCTGTTTACCTGTGAATGTGCTCTGTTGTGTCCCCTTTCATTCATTGTGTGGGCACACACGGTACACTGTTGTTGGTACTGCTCTCTGTCCTACCTTAACTGTGGGTATGCTGTCAGTTGGCCCTGGTGACTCTCACATGTTGTTTTCACCAGGCCACCATCACAGATCCACTGAGGTCATGTCTCAGGACTGCAGTAACTGTGTACCTGGACCTGCTATGGAGGCAGCTCAGACTCTGGCCTTGCCCATCCCCTGTATGTGCCCATAAAGCCCACAGGTCCTAAAGCCAGACCCGTCTCAGCTGCAGGAGCACTTGTCCATTTGGATGTTCTGCAGACACTGAATTTAGGAAGCTGTCTGTGGAGGTCTAACTCCGCAATTTGCACAGCCACAAGGAGAGATTTCAGCTCTTCTTTCTTAGTCACAGAACCCCTGGGGCTCAGCTGTTGTTTCAGCCCCACCTCTGAGTGTGGGCCACCCACCAGCCTCTGCTCCCGAGGCTGCCAGAGCACACTGAGCCTGTCAGGTGGGAGGGAGCCGAGGCAGCAATCTGGGTGAGTGGGCCGCCCAGGCGATTGGGGCGAGCAAGTTACCCAGGTGGGGTGGGTGCAGAGGAGGCAATGACCGGAGATGTGTGAGCCTGCTCTGGCGGGAGCCCCGCCTAGTGCCTGTGGAGGCAGGGCCGGCATGTGAGGAGAGAGACTGCAATGGCTGCCCTGCCCTTTGCACGTCACTCAACGATGGCGCTTTTCCTCTATCATGGTCTGGGCTTCCTCCAGGAGCATTCCAGGTTGCAAAGCTCCTCACTCCCGTCCCCGCAGGCTGTCTCCTCACAGCCAACAGCAGTCCATTTCCCGGGTCTGCTCCCCAAACCCCACGTTTTAGCACCCAGCCCCCATCCACCCTGATGGACACATGTCTCAGGCTGGGGCATGCAGGGCTGTGGCATGGACCATTTGGGTAGGTTTCAGTCTGTCCTTCCTGCCACAGACTGGTTGCTGTGCTCTCCTCCAAGACTCCGAAGCTCCCCTTCTGTCCCAGGTGATCTCCCCACTGGTGAGGGGGCTTCCCCAGATGCATGAAGCTCTCCTCATCTTCAGCTCCCTTCTAGGGGTGCAGGTCCCATCCTGCTTCCTCTCCTCTTCCTTTTCCCTTCTTCTTTCTTTCATCCTACCTGGTTACATGGGGATTCTTCTTGCCCTTTTAGGTGTCTGAGGTGTTCTGCTAGTGTTCAGCAGGTGCTCTGTGAGAACTATTTCATTAGTAGATGTTTTCTTGATGCATTTATGGGAGAGATGAACTCCACGTCCTTCTACTCCTCCGCCGTCTTGATCCTTTGGATTGGCATGGATTTCTTTGAGTCTATCCTTTTGAGATTTGGTCAGCTTCTCATATCTGTAGATTTTTATCTCTTCCTAAATAGGGGGATTTTACAGCCATTATTTCTTTATTTTTTGAAACACTTTTTCATTTCTGCCTGTTTTTTTCCTCTCCTTGGATTCTAATGACACGAATGTTAGATCTTTTGTTATAGTCTCACAGGTCCCTAAGGCTCTGTTCAATTTTTTTTAATCTATTTTCTCCCTATTGCCCAACTGTGTAGGTTCTATTGTACTACCTTCCAGTTCACTGATTCTTTCCTTTGTCCTTTCCACTCTACTGTTGATCTCATTTACTTAGTTTTTAATTTTGGTTATATTTTTCAATCCTAAAATTTTCATTTTTTTCTTTATATCTTCCATTTCTTTGCTAAGGCTTTCTATTTCTTTGCTGAGGCATTCCATTTTTTAAAATTCATTTCAAGCATATTCATCATTGCTATTAGAAGTGGTTTTTTTTATCATGGCTGCTTTAGAATCCTTGTCAGATAATTATAACATCTCTGTCATCTTGGTGTTGGCATCTATTGACTGGCTTCTTATTACTGCTGGGTGAGAATGAGAGTTCCAGATCCCATGTGGCCTCCACTGACATGATGTTGGTGACGGTGGGGCTTCTAACCACGGTGGTTGGTGAAAGTCCTGACCCTTCACTAGGCCTCCTATTACATTACTCCAGCAAGGAGGGAGAGGAGCTGGGTGGGGGTGAAGTCCAGGCTTCCTGTGTGTTCTCCACTGGTACTGCCAGGAAGAGTGGCTCATTACCAGCTGTCTGGGATGAAAGTCCCCTTTCCCTACTTGGTCTTCTCTAATGCCACTCTGATGCAGACGTTGGGGTGTCTTCTTTTAGTCTCTCGAGGATGGAAGTCTATGCTCCCCACTCAGCCTTTGCTGTTATGGGTGTAAGCTGGGGCCACAGTTTTTCCTATGGTGTTTGGCTGGGGTAGAGTAGTTATTGTCTAAGAGTTTTCTGTCTTGCTAGACTGTCCCTTAACTGGTCTTTTGACTAGAGAACATGCATTTGGTGGTTTTTTGCTTTGTTTTCGTTTGTTTTGGTCTACACCTGTTAGGTTTGGTTTCTGGGTTGCCGACTTCTTCAGCAGCTTCATCCCCATTTTATTTCAGCCATCTTGGTTTCAGGTACTTTCATCCTTTACCTGGACTGTTGAGTTAACCCCTAGTGAGTCTTTCAGACTGTAACCTATAATCTCTGACTTCTCCAACATAGCCTCCGCTTCTGCCAGTGTTTTCTTCCTAGGAAGCAGAACTGACCATGTCACCCTTCTGTTAATACCATTGTTCATAAAATAAAATTCCATCTCCTTTGTAAGGCACTGCAGATCCTCCAAGGTCCAATTCCAACTTTGCCTTTCCATCTTTAATTTCTAGTAAATCCTTCTGCCTACTTTCTTGCTCTAGACATGCCATATACCTTCCCTCACATTATTCCTTTGTCTCTAGTACATTTCTTTACTCTGGGAAGTATGGTTTAGAAGTTAAAAGCACTAGAGATAGGCTGCCTGAGTTTAAATTCCATCTCCAATATTTTCTAGCTGAGTGATCTTGTATAGCACTACCTCTCTGTGCCTCAATTTTCCCATCTGAAAAATGGGAATAATAATAGCACAGGATTGTTATAAATTAATATTCTTAAATTAAATATTCTACATAAAGCATTGCCTGGTTACAGAGGAAGGTCCCCATAAATATGAGTTATTAGTATAATTTGTATTAAATTAATACTCAGTGCTTCAATTTAAATCTTACCTCTCTATGAAGTTTTTATGAGTTCTGCCCACTGCTCTCCCATTATTGGAATTAATTACTCTTTCCCATCTGCACCCACGCCACTTAACTTACATTGCTTTTATACTTCATTCTGTTTGCTTAGCTAGGTTGCAGATCTCTCTCACTAACCATGTTTGTTCATTTTTAGATTCATTCAGTCAATGGAAGCATTCACTATGAGTCAAACACTAGATCACAGAGGTGTCTAAGACATTGACTCATATCCATGACAGAATTTATTTTAAAGAACTTATGTGCTCAGGCACTGTGCTAGGCAGCATAAATGGAGAAGGATGGGACATTAGATCCCTAAGGATTGAATGATGGTAAAAAAAAAAAAATGGAGAGAGGAAGTATAAGTTTAGCAGGGAGGCTGAATAAAGGGAAGGTCATGTAAGGGTGAGGGCAGGACTTCCCTGTTGGTGCAGTGGTTAAGAATCCACCTGCCACTGCAGGGGACACGGGTTTGATCCCTGGTCTAGGAAGATCCCACATGTGGCAGAGCAACTAAGCCCATGTGCCACAACTACTGAGCCTGTGCTCTAGAGCCTGCAAGCCACAACTACTGAGCCCGCATGCTGCGACTACTGAAGCCTGCGCACCTAGAGCCCATGCTCCACAACAAGAGAAGCCACTGCAATGAGAAGCCTGCGCACCACAATGAAGAGTAGCCCCCACTCACCAGAGAAAGCTTGCACACAGCAACAAAGACACAACTCAGCCAAAAAAAAAAAGTTTTTTTTTTAGAAAGGGTGAGGGCAATTAAGCAAGTTTATTGTGGATAAGACCAGCAAATTGAAAGAGAGAGATTTTGACAGTGATTAGGAAAGAATGAGAAAATGTTTGAAGGAGAAAGACATGTGTGTGTGTATACATACATATATGTGCACATATATGCATGTTTTTTGCATAAACACATCTTGTGTGTATATATGTAAATATATGACATATATACATACCTCTCTCTCTCTCTCTCACACACACACACACACACACACGGAGGAGGTGGGGGAGAGAAGGGAAGGAGAAAGGGAGAAACTGCAAGCTTGAGAGAGAATTATACACATATATAATCTCTCTTTCTCTCCTTCTCTCTCTGTCTTTCTGTGTGAATAATATATAGTAAAGTATATCTTTCTATCTGCCTACCTCTGTATAGATAGAGATGGAGATCAGTCAAACAAGAAAGGTAAAAGAAGGATGAATCACTGATGGAATGAAATCTTATAGGAAGGAGGAGGAAAAGATTTGATCAAAAGCACAGGTAAAACTCCCTTAGAGAAATGAGGGAGGAAGGTCAGGATCAGATGGAAGAGAAGGGAGTTACAGTTCATGTAAGTTGGCTGCTGTTTCCTCTGGGAAGACGGGAAGCACAAGAAGGGTGAGGATGGAGAAGGGGGCTAAAAGAAAGGGGTAGTGGTTTGGTACATTTTCTCTTGGAATTGAGAAAGGACAATGCAAGGGACTTAGAAGTTTTCCTACCAATATAAGGGCCTCACTGAGGGTGTAAACCAAACATTTACAATGGTGCTAATATGAATGATTTTTTTTTTCAGAAACACTTAGCCTTTGGACAAGAAAGCTGGCAGGTGAGGGTTACAGTGGTCTTGGGGTTAGGCCTGGGGATGGTGGGAGGGCAGCAGAAAGGTCCTGGTAAGAGCCAAGTGTAGTGTAGTTATAGTAGCCAGGCTGTGTAGAGAAAAGTGAATGGAGGATGAGACTTAACTGGGTGAGCTGGAGAGTATAAGAAGCTTGAGGAACCAGAGAGGTTGGAGAGCACATTTACTTTGACTGTAGCGATGAGGGTAGTAGGAAGACAGAAAGATCTGGTTGAAGAGTGGGATTTCGGAGTGTGAGTCATTCATCCAACAGTCACTGAACATCGGCTTTGTCCATTTACTGTGGGAGGCTCTAGGAACAAAGAGAAGAATGGAGACCAGGTGGTTCCTGCCCTTAAGGAGCTCACAGCCCAGACTTCAGAGGTGGTGCCTTTCTAAGTGAAAACTAAAGTCCAGGATATGCTCTTGGAAGTGGTTTACTGCAGTAGGTTGGAGGGGAGGGTTGGTGGAGCAAAGGAAGCCACACAGCTGGTAGGCTAGCGTGTTGGATGTGTCATCCACAGGAGTTTATCAGTCCTGTAGAGAAAGTCAGGGTTTCTCTCTGCTCAGTCATTTCTCCAGGGCCGTGTGTATCCTCTTACCATCCTCTGAGGTGGGAGCTATTTTTCTTTTCTTTTTTTTCTTTTTTGGCCATGCTGCGTGGCTTGTGGGATCTTAGTTCCCTGACCAGGGATCAAACCCGTGCCCCCACAGTGGAAGCACGAAGTCCTAACCGCTGGGGAAGGGAAGTCCCCAGGGAAGTCCCTGGGAGTTATTTTTCCTTTCAAGCTTTTGCATCTCAGACTCCATGTGACCACAATGAGGTCAGTCCTTGCATGGTTTTCTTTAGTGTAGAGTGGAGAGCGAGTGGGACTCAAAGAACTGATTCCATGCTTTGGTGCAATGAGTCTCTAAAGAACTACTGATCTTGTGCTTTTTTGCCCTTACCAGTAATATGGAGATAGGAAGATGCCACAAATCCTTTGTGAGGCAGAGGCAGCTGGGATAAGTAAAGATGTAAATAAATAAGCAAAAGTCGGATGCTGCAGGAGCTGGTAGGAAGCAGTGATAATGAATGAGTGTGTATGCATGGAGCGAGGAGACTGCTTAGGGCTCCGGGACCTCTGTGACTGATTTCATTTTTTTTCTACACAATTCTAAATGAAACTGGCAACCTAAAGGAGCTGTGTATAATCTAGGTCTTTCAGAGACCCCTGGTGGCTTCTCTAGCTGGGTTGAACAGAGGCCTTGAGATTTCTCCATGGAAGATACAGGCTGTGGGAATCCACTTGGCAGCATGTCCAGGTTTTTTGTGCCCACAGAGCTGCATGAGACTTCATTTCATGGCCCATCTGGGCATTACTATCTGGAAACTAAATTTCCTCCCTTCCTCTTCCAGAGAGGCTGGCTTGCAAACTTCACTGATGAGGAGCCACACAGGAGCCACTGTAGCTATTTTGTGGGTTTTGGCTGACAGAAGGGAAGAGGAAGCGTACATCTTTTGATTTCTTACCCTTAGCTTCCCTTTTTGCTCTGACCTTGGGAGATTGGTTTCTCTGGCTGTCTGGTTCAAATTCCAGATTAAACTCTGGCAGTGGGCTTTATCCTTTCAGGGAATGCTATTTCATATCTTCAGGGGTCCAGACAAAGACCACCAAGGTTGCTCTGCTAAGCAGTTCATAACAACACCAGGTCTAAGGCATGATGTGATCTCTCAGCCATGTGATGGCTCTCTGATATTTTTTATGCCATTTTTCTCTTCTTTCAGAGCCTGAGAAGCCAACTGAGGCCAACCAAGTTTCAGAACCTCTACTGTCTGGTACTAGCATCTCCAAGGATGAACCATTCTAACCAGATACTCCTCTACTCTTAAGAGTACACTTCTCCCCAGGTAGCTAAGGGGATAATAAGATTTTTTTGTTTTGTTTTTCGTTTTGTTTTTTAAGCTGTGCTGCGTGGCATGTGGGATCTTAGTTCCCTGACCGTTGATTGAACTGGCGCCCCCTGCATTGGAAGTGCAGAGTATTAACCAATGGACTACCAGGGAAGTCCTGATAATAAGACTTTTTTATGACCCTTCGCACACTATGTGATGAGATAGTCATCTGCATGGTGGCTTATATACCAGGGATGTGCACTGCTGCTACTGAAATATAAGATGAAATGTACTATCACCAGGCATACTTCATTTTGTATATCCAGTGGTTACACTCAGTATAGGTGGGTAGACTCAAGGTTCCAGAGAATATGAATTTGCAGCACTGGGAAATAGGTTATCTCTAATATGGAAACCAGTGAAAATGGCATGCAATGCATGCAATTAGTCATTCAGTTTAAGAGATGGTGCTTATAAGCCAGCTTGTCATCTTCATCAGGAGGCCAGCATGTGTACAGGAAGACAAAATTCTGAGAGGTAGGTGATGGAAAGAAGCTGTCTCCTCAATTGTGCCACAGATTTTCAGTAATTAGGTGAAGGAGCTTTGGGTCATAGATGAAAAAAAGCTGTCAAAGAGTAAGAAGTATAAGAATTAGTAGGTGCTGTCCAAAGAAAGTATGCTGCAATTCTTGTTTACTGGCCCTAGAGTGTTCTCTAGACATCATTTTCCCCTAGAACGGTGTGGGGTTAATCCAATGGATAATCACAGGGAGAAAACCCTGGCTTTGAAAATATATGGCTGCTTAGTTGTAATTCTGCCCTAGCCAAGATAATCCCCAGGGTCAACTTGTCTAGAAGAGAATCTGATCTAGATCTTATGCCAGGTGGCTCTCCAGTTATGAATTAATAAACTGGTATTGGTTGATGTTGTATTTTCTTTTTTCTTTCTTTTTTAAAAATAAATTTATTTATTTTATTTTTGCATTGGGTCTTCATTGCTGCACGTGGGGTTTCTCTAGTTGCAGCAAGAGGGGGCTACTCTTCATTGCGGTGCATGGGCTTCTCATTGCGGTGGCTTCTCTTGTTGTGGTGGCTTTCTGTTGCGGTGCCTTCTCTGTTGAGGTGCCTTCTCTGTTGCAGAGCACGGGCTCTAGGCATATGGGCTTCAGTAGTTGTGGCGCACAGGCTTAGTTGTTCCACGGCATGTGAGATCTTCCCGGACCAGGGCTTGAACCCGTGTCCCCTGCATTGGTAGGTGGATTCTTAACCACTGCGCCACCAGGGAAGTCCCCTGATGTTGTATTTTCTTGAGGGCTTGGTTGATGTGATTTGTTCTCCCAGAGTCTGTTTACTTCTGGTCATGGAACATTGAATTGGTGGCCCAGGGCTTGGACCTGTGGTGTTCTGAGCAAGGCCGCTAGGAGCTGCCAAGCAGACCTCTCTCTGACACCTTTCTTGCTGTAATGGTGATGTGCATGAGGTTCACAAACACTGAGAGTTTCTTAGGTTGATCAATGAGGTAATGATGTTTGTTCTAGAGCAGGGTTTCTCAACCTCAATGCATTAACATTTGGGGCCAGATAGTTCTTTGTTGTGGGGGTGCTGTTCTATACATTGTAGGATTTTAGCAGTATCCTTGCCTCCTACTAGATGCCAATATCAACCTCCACTGGAGTTGTGACAACCAACTGTACCCTGGGGAGCACACTGCCCAAGGTTGAGGATCATTATTTTAGGAACTAACCAGTGATAAGGGATTTCCTTGAGGACTAGAGCATAAAATTTCACTTGTAGGTGGATGAGTTCTTCATGCCTCTTACCTTTATATTGGTTAAGTGTACTAGGGTTCTCCAGAGAAACAGAAACAGAAACATACATATTTTGTACATAAATATATAACAATAGATTATTATTATTATGAAGAATCGACTCACATAATCATAGAGGTTGAGAAGTCCCATGATTTGCCATACACAACCTTGCAATATGGAGACACAGGAAAGCCAGTGGTGTAGTTCAGTCCAAGTCCAAAAGCCTGAAAACCAGGAGAGCGAATGGTGTAAATCTCAGTCTGAGGCCAGAGAAGACAAGATGAGATGTGATGCTCCAACTCAGCAGTGAGGCAGGAAGAAAGAGGCAAGTTCGTCCTTCCTCTGCCTTTTGTTCTATTCAAGCTCTCAATGGATTGGGTAATGCCCATTCATATTGGGGAGGGCAATCTACTTTAGTTAGTCTACCTATTGCTAATCTAATCTGGAAACACCTTCATAGACACACCCAGACATAATGTTTAATCTGGACATCCCATGGCCAGTCATCAAATTAAGCATCATAGTAGGAGATGCAGAAATGTTTTAATTACAGGGCAAATCACCAGTGGAGAGTGTCTAGAACTACCTGGAGTAGTTTCATCACTATTAGTGGAGGGCTCAGGGAGTTTGGCTCTGGGAGTCATCACGTATCTAACTTCTGCAGACCTTGTCTCATTGGCAGCTGCCCTGAACAGAATCTCCTATGCTGAGTCCTGCCCTCTGTCTCAGTGTCCTCATGAAGGACTTGCCCTCCTACCCTAGATCAGATTTATAAAGGATGCATTAAGTGAAACTCCTCCTAAGCCTATGCTGTTATAATATCTGAGTGCTCAGGCTGAAGGGGATCACAGAAGTCAGGCAGAGCATTTTGCAAACTCTATTGGGCATCTTACAAAATGAGAGTCTGATTCCAAAGGTCTGGGTGCCCAGGATTATGCAGATCTAACAAGCTCCTAAGTGATGTCAATCCTGCTGGTCCTTGTACCATAATTTGAATAGTAAGAATCTAGGCCAGAGGGCTGCAGACTATGTATGGTCCGTGGGCCAATCTGGGTCCACCACCTAGTTTTGAAAATAAGGTTTTATTGTAACACAGCCACATTCATTCTTTTGTGGTTGTTTGTGGTGGTTTTGACACCATGATGGCAAAAGCTGAGTAGTTGAGACAGAGAGCATATAGCCCTCAGAGCCCTTTCACAGTAAAGTTATAAATGTGTACTGACCCCCACTTTACGTTGACTTGTGCTACATGGACCATAGGGGGTTTTCCTGTTCACTCTGTAGGATGGCCCACCAGCAGTGGTTTTTCCTGACCGTCAGCCTGCCTTCTTTGTCCCCCTTTCTTTTACCTCTGGCTCCTGCAACCCTCTCCATTAGTGCCTGGGGCATGGAGAGACTTGCAGGAGGAATTTCTGTGCCACGGTTAAGCTTCCGTCTTGCATGTGGTCCTTTCATAGTCCTGAAGAAGTACCCTGCTTGGCACCCCACTCAGAGCCAGTCAGCCCTGGTGTCCTTTTAGTCTTCAAAGTGGCTCACTCTAAGACCTGTTCAGAAATACTCTCTGGGACTTCCTCATGCATACAAAGCTCATGCCTAATTGCTCTTTCTGTTTTTCAGCCAGCCAGAATTGACTGAGAACCTCCTTTCATCAGGCACCATGCTAGGTACCAGGGTAATAAGGACTTGTAAGAAGTCTCTTCAGTAAACCAATAATTCCAATTGCAATATCATAGGTGCAATATCAGAAAAATATTCTAATACTTTGATAGACAAAAAAAGAATCTGGAGGATTTGGAGCTTTACTGCATTAGACCTTTCTTTTTAAATAAAACATGAATTTTTATTAATTTTTACACAAACTCATTTTTGCATCCATTGACATGATATGTTTTTCCTCTTAATCTATAAATGTGATAGATTACAATTATTTACATTCAATGTTTTTATAAGTGAGATAATAACATCTTTTACTTAAAATTAAGCAATATCCATAATTTGATATAAATTAGAATTTTGTTGACTTCAATTTTTTAAATCAAAGTGTAGTTGATGTACAATATTCTGTAAATTACAGGTGTACAATATAGTGATTCACAGTTTGTTTGTTTTTTTAATGGAGAGCCAAGAGGTGTTAGTCTTTTCTTTTTTTTCTTTCTTTATTTTTTTAGACTTGATTTCTCTAGGCGTGCAGGCTTCAGTAGTTGTGGCTCACGGGCTCTCAAGAGCAGGCTCAGTAGTTGTGGCTCATGGGCTTAGTTGCTCCATGGCACGTGGGATCTTCCTGGACCAGGGATTGAACCTGTGTCCTCTGAATTGGCAGGCGGATTCTTAACCACACTGCCACCAGGGAAGTCCCCACAGTTTTTAAAGGTTATACTCCATTTTTAATTATTATAAAATATCGGCTATATTCCCTGCATTGTACAAGATATCCTTGTAGCTTATTTTATACATAATAGTTTGTACTTCTGAATCCCCTACTGTATATTGCCCCTCCCCGCTTCCTCTCTCCACTGATGCACTAGTTTGTTCTCTATATCTGCAAGTCTTCTTTTTTGTTATATTCACTAGTTGTATTTTTTAGATTCCACATATAAGTGATATCATATAGTATTTTGACTTTAATTTTAATATCTCTATAATTCTGCTACCATTCCTATTAACTGAAAATCAATATTTGATTGCTGGATTCTCTAAAGAATCTTTAAAAATTAACCTTTAAAATTCATTGTTGTACCTCATCAACATCTTATATTTATTATTATTAATTTTAAAAATTGTGGTAAAATACATATAACATAAAATTTGCTATTTTAACCATTTTTAAGTGTACAGCTCAGTGGCATCAAGTACATTTACTTTGTTGTGCAACCATTATCATTATCCATGTCCAGAACACTTTTCATCTTGCAAAACTGAAACTTTGTACTCTGTACCAATTAAACAATCATTTCTTATTTCTCCCTTCTCCCAACCCCTGACAACCACCATTCTGCCTTCTGTCTATGAATTTGACTACTCTAGGTACTTCATATAAGTGGAATCATACCATATTTCTTCTTTTGTGACTGGCTTGCTTCACTTAGCATAATGTCCTCAAGGTTCATCCATGTTGTGCATGTGTCAGAATTTCACAGGTACATGTAAAGGTATGAGACTAGAACACTCCCTAACACCATACACAGAAATAAGCTTAAAATGGATTAAAGACCTAAATGTAAGGTCAGACACTATCAAACTCTTAGAGGAAAACTTAGGCAGAACACTCTATGACATAAATCACAGCAAGATCCTTTTTGACCCACCTCCTAGAGAAATGGAAATAAAAACAAAAATAAACAAATGAGACCTAATGAAACTTAAAAGCTTTTGCACAGCAAAGGAAACCATAAACAAGACCAAAAGACAACCCTCAGAATGCGAGAAAATATTTGCAAATGAAACAACTGACAAAGGATTAATCTCCAAAATTTACAAGCAGCTTATGCAGCTCAATAACAAAAACACAAACAACCCAATCCAAAAATGGGCAGAAGACCTAAATAGACATTTCTCCAAAGAAGATATACAGATTGCCAACAAACACATGAAAGAATGCTCAACATCATTAATCATTAGAGAAATCAAATCAAAACTACAATGAGATATCATCTCACACCGGTCAGAATGGCCATCATCAAAAAATCTAGAAACAATAAATGCTGGAGAGAGTGTGGAGAAAAGGGAACACTCTTGCACTGCTGGTGGGAATGTGAATTGGTACAGCCACTATGGAGAACAGTATGGAGGTTCCTTAAAAAACTACAACAGAACGACCATACGACCCAGCAATCCCACTACTGGGCATATTCCCTGAGAAACCCATAATTCAAAAAGAGTCATGTACCACAATGTTCATTGCAGCTCTATTTACAATAGCCAGGAGATGGAAACAACCTAAGTGTCCATCATCGGATGAATGGATAAAGAAGATGTGGCACATATATACAATGGAATATTACTCAGCCATAAAAAGAAATGAAACTGAGTTATTTGTAGTGAGGTGGATGGACCTAGAGTCTGTCATACAGAATGAAGTAAGTCAGAAAGAGAAAGACAAATACTGTATGCGAACACACATATATGGAATCTAAGAAAAAAAAATGTCATGAAGAACCTAGGGGTAAGATGGGAATAAAGACACAGACCTACTAGAGAATGGACTTGAGTATATGGGCAGGGGAAAGGGTAAGCTGTGACAAAGCGAGAGAGAGGCATGGACATATATACACTACCAAACATAAAATAGATAGCTAGTGGGAAGCAGCCGCATAGCACAGGGAGATCAGCTTGGTGCTTTGTGACCACCTGGAAGGGTGGAATAGGGAGGGTGGGAGGGAGGGAGATGCAAGAGGGAAGAGATATGGGAACATATGTATATGTATAACTGATTCACTTTGTTATAAAGCAGAAACTAACACACCATTGTAAAGCAATTATACTCCAATAAAGATGTTAAAAAAAAAAGGCTGTAATACTCCATTGTATGCATATACCACATTTTGTTTATCCATTTGTCTGTGGATGGACACTTTGATTGATTTATCTTTAGGCTGCCATAATAATGCTTCATCATAATTTGTGTACAAATATCTGTTCAAGTCCCTGCTTTCAGTTCTTTTGGGTGTAGACCCAGAGGTGAATTGCTGAATCATATGGTAATTCTATTTTTAATTTTTTGAGAAACTGCCACACTGTTTTCCATAGTGCCTCCACAATTTTACCTTCCCATCAACAGTACAAGGGTTCCTCTCCAATTCTCTCCAACACTTGCTATTTTCTGTTTTGTTTTGTGTTTTTTTGATAGTAGCCATCCTAATGGATGTGGGGTCGTATCTCATTGTGTTTTTGATTTGTGTTTCCCTAATGATTAGTGACGTTGAGCATCTTTTCATATGTTTATTGGCCATTCATGAATCTTCCTTGAAGAAAGGTCTATTCAAATCCTTTGCCCATTTTTTAATCAGGTTGTTTGTTTTTTGCTGTTGTTGTGTTGTAGGAGTTCTCTATAATCTAGATATTAATCCCTCATCAGATATATGATTTGCAAATATTTTCTCCCATTCCATTGGTTGCTTTTCACTCTGTTGATTGTATCCTTTGATGCACAGAAGTTTTAAGTTTTGATGTAGTCCAACTTATCTATTTTTATTTTGTTGCCTGTGCTTTTGGTGTCAAGTCCAAGAAATCATTTCCAAATCCAGTGTCATGAAGCTCTTCCTCCATGTTTTCTTCTAAGAGCTTTATAGTTTTAGCTCTTCCACTTAGGTCTTTTATCCATTTTTAATTTTTTTTTTAATATGGTGTAAGATAAGGGTTGAACTTCATTCTCTTGCATGTGGATATCCAGTTTTCTCAACAAGACTATTCTCTCCAAATTGAATGGTCTCTTGTTGAAAATAATTTAACCATATATGTAAGGTTTTATTTCTGGGCTCTCTGTTTTATTCCATTTATCCATATGCCTGTCTTTATGCAAGTACAACACTGTTTTGATTCCTGTAGCTTTGTAATACGTTTTGAAATGAGGAAGTGTGAGACTTCCAGCTTTGTTTTTTTTTATTAGGACTGTTTTAGTAATTTGGATTGCTTGATATTCCATATGAATTTTAGTATGGATTTTTCTATTTCTGAAAAAAAAGGAAGTCTTTGGGATTTTGAGACTACAGTAGAACCTCTTACAGGAAACGTTAGCCAGGGAGGAGGGACATTTAGGCAAAAGGAAGGGCACAACCAAAAGCATGAAAAGATAAAAGCGTTTAGTGTATTTGGGGAACTGAAAGTAATCTGGTATTGTTGAAGCATTAGGCATACTTGTATCTCTGTGTATATGTGTAAGAGTGTAGACTTGGGTAGGAGATGAATTAAGAGCCAAAATAGAGGTCAGATATTGTGAAAGTGGATGTGTTTTGTGTTAAGAAGTTTAATGGGGATTAAACTTCTTAACATTAGTGAAGGGTTGGACTTATGGAGTGAAGTGATCAGATTTGTACTTTATAAAAGATAAACCTGATGGTAAAAGTGGGTGCTAGATTGAATAGGAAGAGGTATTTGCAGAAGCATCAGATAGGAGACTGTTGGAAAACTCACAGAAATAAAATGATGAGACTTGCACTATAGTAGGATTAGTGGGGATAGAAAGGAGGGAATGGACCTGAAACAGCTTTGTCCTACTATATACTCAGAAATATTCCAGTGGCTTCACTCTCTTCCTAGGTCCTGAAGTCCTCAGACCTGCAGAGCAGTTTCTGAACTCAGGGTGGTGGTTCCAAGTCTTCACCTGTATCATCAGTTGTCACCTTTTAGGAACTCAAATGGCTGTTGAAGACTCAGAGGTACAGGGGTCCCTCAGCAATAGCTAGCCCACTCCTCATCTGCCACTATCTGGGCCTCTGGCTGCTCCAAGGACCTTGTGTTTGTTTCTGTCCTACCTATGGGTTGGTCTGTCTTTTCTTGCTTTGGTCTTCCCTGAGCCCACTGGAATTCACCAAAATGAGAGTTGTCTTATCTGTTGTGACCCATTCCATCCACCTATGGAATTGCAGCTCTCCAGGCCCTCTGAATGTGATCCATGTTACCAATGTCTGTGACCCACCTGAGAACCTGTTTCTTCTGAAAGGACTGGAACCTTCTGCTTCCCTAGCTTTCCCTAACCTGACATCCTTCCATACTCTGTGACTCAGTTCCCTGTCTTCAGATAGAGTGGCACTGAATAGGAGTCATTAAGATCTCTGCCAGTTGAAATCCTCAGCTCTCTGCTAGGGCTTCACTGAATGGGTAATGATAATGCTGGTTCTAAACACCAGCAGCAGCTGGGGAAAGAATGTGCTCCCCCAGCCAGAGGCTGAGCCACTGAATACTGAGATCCCAAGTTCCTGTTCTGAACCCTGATGATCAGTTCCTTTGATGGGCCGTTTGTGGCAGTGCATGTGTGTTTGGTTGGCCCATCACAGTCACAGGTGGAGTCATGGAGCTAGGGGCAGGTAGCAGCCTCGAGCTCCCAAGTTCTTGGGGGCATTTTAGAACAGGAACCACTTTGGGAGTTCTGAAATAGTCAGCTCTGACCCATTGCCAAGAATGCACATTTGGTGATACGTGGGATGAAGCAAGCTGATCAAAGTACACAAGTGCCATCAGTACAGGGGAAAGCAGAGCCAGCTGAAAAGCAGGCTGTGGCTTGGGGTAAAAATGCAGTGATTAAAGTGATGATGGACTGAACCTCATAGGCAAACCGGGAAGAATGCAATAAAAAGGATCAAGGAAAGGTGAGGGAGAAATGTTTAAATGGGAAATTGGGAGGAGATGGGGAAAGAGAAAGGAGAAAGGCCAGGAAAAACAGATTTAAGGAGTTGCTGCTTCTTTGAAAGCCAAGAAACTGTTAGAGCAGAGTACAAGATCTCAGATCTTTGCAGCCCCCTGGCTGGGAAGTTTGGACTGGATTTTGTTCTTGAGCCCAGGCTACCTGGAGCACAGCCTCAGGAAATCAGAATGTGTTCTCATCACTCACTTTGTGTTCCCAAACAGAAGAGAAGAGAGGGAGGGTGGCCACCTTGATCCAGCTGAAGCATCTCCAGGAGGCCTTTTCTGGATGTCACATCGAGGCTGTCCTTCTACCACAACACGGAGCTGGTGATCCCCGAGTTCGTGGACATGGCTTTGCTCAGCAATATCCTAGAGGCCTATTCCTTTGTCTCAGGTAGTTGTTCAGTCTCAGCTGGGCCAGGTCTGAGGCCTGGGGCTGGGTAGAGCCATCTCCTGGGTGGCCATCTCTGGTCTTATACTCAGGAGAGAAATGCCTCTCATAACAGAGGGGCTCTGTGGTACTGAGTTTTGAGATGAAACGTTTTCTGGTTTGAAACTTAAGCTTTCTCTAATTTGGCAAATGGGGGGTTGTAAGAGCTTTATCTTGCTGAAAAATATTTGGTTTCCTTTTGGGCTCGGGTGAATGAAATAGCCTGGGGCTACTGTTGGCTTCTGTCATTAAGCATTTAACTCTGATATGTAAGGCCAGAATGGAGTATCCTCAGCCTGATTATTTCTATGCAGTGGTTCTCAACTCCTCCCAGGTTGTGTGTGTGTGTGTGTGTGCGCGTGTGTGTGTTTATGTGTAGTCTGTGTTTGGGGGGTTGTGTGAGAAGTTTGATAACCTTCTGGGAGCCATGGAGACAGAAAGTATGTGAGTCTGGGAGAGTCTGATATTTGCTCCCTCCTTGGTTCACAGTTGTTTCTTTTAGAAAGATGGCTGACTTTCTCCTCAAGATCATTTCTTGAGAACAGGTGCTGTTCACATAAAAGGAGTCATTTAAATATACCCAATAAAGCTGAAATTTTAAAAAATACATGAAAATGCTGAATAGTTTGAATGACCAAATTGATTTTCTTCTGCTTGAGTGAGTTTTTAAGGTTTTGTTAGTTTGCTTTTCTTTATTTTATTTGGCCTTATGTCTATGTTTGTTGTATAAAAGGAAGGGACTGAGGTTCTGCTTAGGTTTCCCCTGGGGGACTGGTTTTACTTTCTAGTTCTCTGGTCAGGCTTGATATGTGGTGACCTCAGAGTTCAGGTGCAAAACCTGACACTTCTATTTACAATGGCAAATCTGAGCTAGGACTGAGGATAAAGGCAGTTCATGGCTTTTTGTTGAGAGAGCATCTTGGATGACGTGCAACCTGATTTTAGAAAGGAGGACTTCTCAGGAGCCTGGCTGGCTCCTTTGTGGTTGGCAAGATGCAGCATGTAGTCTTCACATGCCTCAAGTCCAGGGTTCTCTCTTTTCAGATCAGCAAAGGCTCAGGTCATCAGTCAGCTCCTCACCTCCCAAAGGAAGTTCAGTGCCTGGGGCCTCCTTACCTGGGCACCCACACATCAGAGAAATCTCAGTTCTGCCCATTCTTCTAGGCTATTCTGGAGAGAAAGGACACTGGAGCTAGAAAAGAGATGTTTGAAACTCTGGTATCATGTTTTCACAAGCAATTAAATTGATGATCTCCTCAGTTCTATAGTGAGGACACCCCAAAATGAAGTGGGGTGTGGCAGGGGGGGTCTGGAGTTTCCAGGCCTCAGATGACACTTGCAAATAAGCTGTTGTAAGAAAATATCTTGGGTGAGAGCAAACAGGCTTCTGGACTTTGGAACTCTACTCAGCACAAGAAGTACCTGGCGGCTTTCCATTTTGACCAGGATGACCCTGAGTTGTGATCATTGAATGCCCTGGTGTTTACCATGTGTCTTATGATCTTGTTAAGGTGAAAGGGTACATGGCCCTGTTTTTCTCTCCCCTTCAACCTTTTTCCTTCCCACTCCATATTCTGGAATTAAATATTGCTTAGGATGCAGGAAGATAATGCTTCTTTTAAGTAAATATGGGCTGAGATAAAAAGAGAAGGAAAGAAAATGGAAAGTGGAGTGGCTAAAATAAAATGCATTAGATCAAGTAAATAGACTTGGTGGCTAAAAATTCATTCTGAGTGTGATTCAGAACACTGCCTGACTATAAAGGAAATGAATTAAAAAATTTAAAATATGGGGGGCTTCCCTGGTGGCGCAGTGGTTGAGAGTCTGCCTGCCAATGCAGGGGACACGGGTTCGTGCCCCGGTCGGGAAGATCCCATATGCCGCACAGCGGCTGGGCCCGTGAGCCATGGCCGCTGAGCCTGCACGTCTGGAGCCTGTGCTCCGCAACGGGAGAGGCCACATCAGTGAGAGGCCTGCGTACCGCAGAAAAAAATCAAAAAAAATTAAAATATGAAGGTGAAGATAACAGCTCCTAACTGCTCCTATTTTCTTCCACTTTATCAGTTGCTTCATCCATGTGGTCCATCATTTCAGGAACATACTTGCTAATACACATAACTCCTTTATTCCTTTGTCTAGTTTCTGGTTAAACCAACAGGCAAAATCCCAACTCTTAAGTAAACCCTTCTTTCTCCCCTTTCTCCCTCTGCACTCAAGTAACCAAACACTGTTACAACTTTGCAGGTTGAAACCATTAAGAAATTCATGGAATTTGGCCTTAGCTGAGGCTTTGTAATACTGCGTCATTCTTCCTATTTGCTTTTGGATACATCTTGCTCCCATTCTTCACAATACCCATTTTAAACCTTGACCAAGGTATGATTTAAAATATCTGTTTATCAAAATGTACCCGTATTTGGCAAATGCAAACTAAGAAAAAAAGGCAGCATTAATGAAGAAGGGTTAAAGTTAATATATAAAGAGCTCTTACAAATCAACAAAGGATAAGTGTCCCAAAAGAAAAGTGGACAAAGGATAAGAATCAGCAGTTTGCCAAAGAAAAACTACAGATTACTGGTAAAACATAAGCAGCTCAATGTCTAGCAATTAAACAAATGCAAAATGAAACCAACAGTGAGGTTAACTTTTTTCTTTTTTTGCGGTACGCGGGCCTCTCACTGTTGTGGCCTCTCCCGTTGAGGAGCACAGGCTCCGGATGCACAGGCTCGGCCTCAGCGGCCATGACTCACGGGCCTAGCCGCTCCGTGGCATGTGGGATCTTCCCGGACCGGAGCACGAACCCGTGTCCCCTGCATCGGCAGGCAGACTCTCAACCACTGCGCCACCAGGGAAGCCCCCAAGGTTAACATTTTAATTTTATAAAATTCTCAAATATTTGAGCGATTACATTTATAATTTCAATTTTGGAGAAAGTGTAGGGAGATGAGTACTTGCACATATTGTTGATGGGATTATAAATTGCTATAGCCTCTCTAGAAAATGATTTGGGAACAAATGTCAAAAGCCTTAAAACTACATATAGAATTTAGCCAGCAATTCCACAACTAGGAATTTATCCTAATGAAATAATTAGGGATATGGGTCAAAATTTTACTGTGAAGACAGTTTATCTCAGAACTGTTTATAATAGTAAAAAAAAAATGTAGGTGAATATTAATTTAAGTAGAAAGATGTTTATGATGTGCTGTTAAGTAAACAAAACCTGTTACCACACAGCATATACAGTATAATCCCATTATGTGTGTATATTCATATGTATATATAACCACATTTTACTACAAACTCTATCTGGATGCTGGGATTGTATGAGTATGTGTCTGTGTATTTTTAATTCTCTTTTGCTTAGATGTATTTATAAGTGTTCTATACTTCATTGATATTAGTTTTGTAATAAGTAATGTTATTTTATTGAAATTTTAAAATTTGAAATATATATATGTGTGTATATATAAATAAATAAATAAATAAATAAATAAATAAATAAATATATATATATATATATATATATATGTAAAATTACCACTGCCTTACTCTTTTCTGACTTCTCTAGCTGAGTATCTAAATGACCTGAACGTTACCACTTAGATGTGCCATAAGTGTTTCAAATTGAACCTGACCTGGAATGGAATATTGTCCCCTTTAAATATGCTTCTTTTTTAAAAATTGAACTATAGTTAATTTACAATTTTGTGTTAGTTTCAAGTATACCGTAAAGTGATTCAGATATATATATTATATGTATAATATATGTAATGTATAAAAAATATATATTTAAATATATACTTTTACATGTAAAAGAATGTATATATTTTATATATATAAAAAGAATATATATATATATATGTTCTTTTTCAGATTCTTTTCCATTATAGGTTATCACAAGATATTGAGTATAGTTCCCTGTGCTATACAGTAGGACCTTGTTGTTTACCTATTTTATATATAGTAGTGTGTATATGTTAATCCCAGACTTCTCATTTATCCCTCCCCACCTTTCCCCTTTGGTAATAAGTTTGTTTTCTATGTCTGTGAGTCTATTTCTGTTTTGTAAATAAGTTCATTTGTATCATTTTTTTAGATTCCACATATAAGTGATATCATATATTTGTCTTTCTCTTTCTGATTTGCTTCACTAGTATGATGATTTCTAGGTCCATCCATGTTGCTGCAAATAGCATCATTTCATTCTTTTTTTATGGCTGAGTAATATCCCATTGTGTATATATATACATATGTATATATATGTATATATATATATGCCACATCTTTATCCATTCATCTGTCAGTGGACATTTAGGTTGCTTCCATGTCTTGGCTATTGTAAATAGTGCTGCTATGAACACTGGGGTGCATATATCTTTTTGATTAGAGTTTTCTCCGGATATGTGCCCAAGAGTGGGATTGCAGGATCACATGGTAACTATTTTTAGTTTTTTAAGGAACCTCCATAATGTTCTCCATAGTGGCTGTACCAACTGACATTCTCATCAACAGGGTAGGAGGGTTCTTTTTTCTCCACACTCTCTCTAGCATTTATTATTTATAGACTTTTTAATGATGGCCATTCTGACTGGTGTGAGGTAATACCTCATTAGAGTTTTGATTTGCACTTCTCTAATAATTGGTGATGTGGAGTATCTTTTCATGTGTCTGTTGGCCATCTGTATGTCTTCTTTGGAGAAATGTCTATTTAGGTCTTCTGCCCGTTTTTTGATTGGGTTTTTGTTTTTTTGATATTAAGCTGTATGAGCTGTTTGTATATTTTGGAAATTAATCCCTTATCAGTAGCATTGTTTGCAAATTAAACATACTCCTTATTTTGTGTACCATCTAGGGCATCACCTATACTAGAAATATGATTTTTAGCCTTTGATGCATCTTCTTCACTGCCCATATCCAATCACTTACAGTTGGTCCATTTCACCTTTCAATGTCCCTGAAAT